TCTCTTCTCTTCTCTTCTCTTCTCTTCTCTTCTCTTCTCTTCTCTTCCCTTCCCTTCCCTTCCCTTCCCTTCCCTTCCCTTCCATTTTAATTTTAATTTTAATTTTAATTTTAATTTTAATGGAATGGAATGGATTGGAATGGGATAGAATAGGATAGGGTAGCATAGGATAGGATAGGATAGAACGTAGAATAGAATAGAATAGAATAGAATAGAATAGAATAGAATAGAATAGAATAGAATAGAATTCTTTTATTGGCCAAGGTCATCCCGACTACTTGTGAGGAGGCAGCCTCATCCCTCTTGATGGGCCTGTAGCTGCCTAGTTAGCATAGCAGATGGATAGAGATGAGTGAGAGGAGAAAGAAAGAGAGAAATCTTTATTGGCCAAGTGTGATTGGACACACGTGGAATTTGCAAATGCTCTCAGTGTACATAAAACGGGCTTTTTTAAATAGCGTGCACTCACCAAACTGGTTGTTACACCGGTTGAATCGCACCACAGGAAGCAACCCATATTAAAACTGTTCTGAAGGAGGATCCATGAAGCCATCAAACTAACTTGCCCCTTTATGGACCTCTGAATAGACCTGAATATAACTTAAAGCCCCGGAGCTACAAAGTAGGATCATCAAGAGTTTCCAGCAGTTAAAAAAAAACCAGGTCACCCACAAACCCTGCGGACTTTCGTTAGCGCAAATGGAAATATGACTTCCCATTTGGAGGCAGTTATTCTGCGGATGAAATAAATCAGCTCGACTGAGAACACAGATGAAGACAACAGAGGAGGTGGGAATCGGTGCCGGTAAGCTCCATTTCCGTGTGGCATTCATGCACACCTGCTGCTCATGCACATGGAGGACATGCGCATGCACGCTGCTCGTGTAAGCAAAGATGCACATGCACACACACACACATGAGCTCACCGGCTATTTCCACAGCCCAATTGCAAACTCCTCATAGCCCACATGTGGGCTGTGGCCCATAGGTTGGGGACTCCTGATCTAAGGAACTGCTGGTATGTCTTGATCATTCAAATCTATCTATACCAAATATACATGATCTGGACAAAACAGACACACACCCCCTCCCAAAAAAACACCCCTTCTTACCTGTCTCTCTCCATCAGTGTCTTTTTTGGCAATCCGTGCATAATCCCAGCGGTTCCTTATGTGTGCCTCATATTCACCATAAGTCATGGCTCCATCTTCAATAATTAGGTGGGGGTGATGAGGTTCTTCAGGGGGGAAAATGAGGAAGATACCCAACAGTCAGAATAATTCAGTCGTATCAGAATAATAGAGTTGAAAAGGACCTTGGAGGTCTTCTAGTCCAACCCCCTGATCAAGCAAGAGACCCTATACCCGTGATGGTGAACCTATGGCATGGAGCATATGTGGTTAGACATAATAGCATTCTTTTTTAGAGTCAAGGTCATGTTGTTCCCGCACCTGGCTGAGGAGTAGTAGAGAGGACGTCTCAAGTTGAGACTGAGGGTGATTAGAGCATGTGATGGAATGATGGGAGCAGGGGGTGGATTTGTAATATTTTACTTTTCGGAGGGAAACCTGGGACTTTCAAGATTCAGGTTTTTCCAGATGTGTCAGTTTACTACTCTAATAAAAAGTAACTTTGAGAACGTGTCTGATTCGGAGTTATTTGTTGGAGTCGAGTTTTTCTGGAACGCTGACAGAAGGAAAAGGTTTGGGAACTGTGTGATGATCCGGGACGTGGCACAAAGGCAACACAGTCAGATAAGCAATAAGAGTCCCTTTATTATCTCCAACTTTGCCCCCAATGTCCAGGTTACCTTCGAGCTGGAGAAAAAACTCTCCCAGGAACAGCCTTTGACTTTAGAAAATTCAGTCCAGAACAAGGTACACACAAACTGTAACTTAAAATCCAAACAAACCAAACTGAAGTAATTAGTTTGGCAGGGCAGGGGCAGGGATTGCAAACTTGAAAGCATGGCAAAACTCACACAGTTGGGAAGTCGCCAGGAACACAGATAAGTCACAACAATACAAGATAAAGTCACATTTGCTCCCAACAGCTGATTGCATGCAGCTTGCCTTTTTAATATACTGTGTTCCCAGCTGCAGCTAATGAAGGGAATCAGGGCCCCTTCCTCCCCCGTAAGCCTGGCAACCCTTGTTGCTCTCTTCTCCATTCCTCCCTGCATGCCGTAGGATGAAGAGGAGGTGGGCCTGGATCTTCCTCTAAATTCCCTCTCCCTTGTTCTACCTCTCTTCTGCTCTGCCTAGCCAGACTTTCCCCTTCCCCAGTTGCTTCCACAGCCAATGGAGCCACACTCCCATTCCCTGCCAGCTGTTCAGCTTCCTCCTCCGAGTCAGTTTCCAACAGGGGCATGACACACTTGCCTTAGTTGCTATAACTTGCTTAGACTGATTTTGAAGGATCTCTTACCAGAAGGATGTAAGATGATTTCCAGGTTCTTGTCATAACTGTGCTTATCTGCCAAGGTAATGCATATCGTTGATGCTGAATTGGCGTATGGATTGGCATCAGCTCGAAGAGTGTGAGATGGGCTTTCTAGTCCTGCAGCAACGAAGGAAGAGGAGAAAATTAAGTTGCTGAAATGTCACTTAGTTGAAAACTGAAAAGGTTAAGGTTTCCCTATCCAGTCATGCCTGACTCTAGGGCACAGTGTTCATATCTTTTCTTGGCCAGCATTGTCCAAAGATAATTTCTGTGGTCATATGGCCAGCATGACTATCCACCAAAGGTGTATGGTCCGCTGTTACCTTCCCATCAAAGTGGTCCGTATTAATTTACTGTACTCGCCTTTGCATGCTTTCAAATTGTTACGTCAGCAGGAGCTGGAGCAAGTAACAGGAGCTCACCCCATGGCAGAGAGCTCAGATCTCAAACACCAGGCTGCCAGCTCTCCAGCTAACAAGCTCAGCATCTTTAACTGCTGATCCATCATGCCCTTTCAACGCTCAGGTGGAAAATAGTCACTCCTTGTTTACTCCATGAGCAACACTTGATTCACACAACAGCACAAGTGTTGATTTGTAAGTATCAAAAATTTTACTACAACACTGGCAAGGGTGGGATTCAAAAATCCCAGCAACCGGTTCGTTGCCCGGTTGCTGGGTGGGTGTGGCCATGGTGGGCACGGCCTACCAAAACTTCCTGTTTCTGGCTTCTGGTGTGCCTCCAGAGCCCAGGGAGGCTGTTTTCGCCCTCCCAAGGGGTCCGGAGGCTTCTCCCAGGCATCTGGGAGGGCGAAAACAGCCTCCCCTGGGCTCTGGAGGCCCACTGGAAGCTGGAAACAGGCCCGTTTCTGGACTTCCAGAAGGCCTATTTTTCCCTCTCCCAGAACCTCCACGTGGACCCTGCACTTATCTCCATTGAAAATGGGCCACATAGAGACTCCGGGGAGGGGAGGGGAGGGGAGGGGTGGGCAGGGCCAGCCAGTCGGTTGAGATACTGGTTCGGTGAACCAGATGTAACTTTAACATCCGTTTTCACCCGAAGTGGTCCAAACCGGTAGAATACCATCCCTGAACACTGGTAATATACACTGCTCAAAAAAATAAAGGGAACACAAAAATAAGACATCCTAGATCTGAATGAATGAAATATTCTTATTAAATACTTTGTTCATTACATAGTTGAATGTGCTGACAACAAAATCACACAAAAATTATCAATGGAAATCAAATTTAGCAACCCATGGAGGTCTGGATTGGGAGTTACACGCAAATTTAAAGTGGAAAAAAACACCACAGGCTGATCCAACTTTAATGTAATGTCATTAAAACAAGTCAAAATGAGGCTTAGTAGTGTGTGTGGCCTCCACGTGCCTGTATGACCTCCCTACAGTGCCTGGGCACACTCCTGATGAGGTGGCAGATGGTCTCCTGAGGGATCTCCTCCCACACCTGGACTAAAGCATCCCCCCAACACCTGGACAGTCTGTGGTGCAACGTGGCATTGGTGGATGGAGCGAGACATGATGTCCCAGATGTGCTCAATTGGATTCAGGTCTGGGGAATGGGCAGCCCAGTCCATAGCATCAGTGCCTTCGTCTTGCAGGAATTGCTGACACACTCCAGCCACATGAGGTCTAGCATTGTCGTGCATTAGGAGGAACCCAGGCCCAACCGCACCAGCATGTGGTCTCACAAGGGGTCTGAGGATCTCATCTCAGTACCTAATGGCAGTCAGGCTACCTCTGGCGAGCACATGGAGGGCTGTGCGGCCCCCTAAAGAAATGCTACCCCACACCATTACTGACCCACTGCCAAACCGGTCATGCTAGAGGATGTTGCAGGCAGCAGAACGTTCTCCACGGCGTCTCCAAACCCTGTCACGTCTGTCACATGTGCTCAGTGTGAACCTGCTTTCATCTGTGAAGAGCACAGGGCGCCAGTGGCGAATTTGCCAATCTTGGTGTTCTCGGGCAAATGCCAAACGTCCAGCATGGTGTTGGGCTGTAAGTACAACCCCCACCTGTGGACGTTGGACCCTCATACCACCCTCATGGAGTCTGTTTCTGGCCCTTTGAGCAGCCACATGCACATTTGTGGCCCGCTGGAGGTCATTTTGCAGGGCTCTGGCAGTGCTCCCTCCTTGTATAAAGGCAGAGGCAGCGATCCTGATGCTGGGCTGTTGCCCTCCTACGGCCTCTTCCACATCGCCTGATGTATTGGCCTGTCTCCTGGTAGTGCCTCCATGCTCTGGACACTACACTGACAGACACAGCAAACCTTCTTGCCACAGCTCGCATTGATGTGCCATCCTGGATGAGCTGCACAACCTGAGCCACTTGTGTGGGTTGTAGTCTCCGTCTCATGCTACCGCTAGAATGAAAGCACCATCAGCATTCAAAAGTGACCAAACCATCAGCCAGAAAGCATAGGAACTGAGAAGTGGTCTGTGGTCACCACCTGCAGAACCACTCCTTTATTGGGGATGTCTTGTTAACTGCCTATGCTTTCCACCTGTTGTCTATTCCATTTGTACAACAGCATGTGAAATGGATTGTCAATCAGTGTTGCTACCTAAGTGGACAGTTGGATTTCACAGAAGTGTGATTGACTTGGAGTTACATTGTGTTGTTTAAGCATTCTCTTTATTTTTTTGAGCAGTGTATAAACCAGCAACAGTGTTTTCATGGAATCGAATAAATTCTCAAGCTAACATTGCAGCCTTTTTTTTTACATTTTTATGTTCAAGCCACAAAGAAGCCATCCCTTAGTTTAGAAGTACAGTACATTTTGATTAAATTGAAGCATGGTGAGATCATCTTTCAAAGACCTGGGACTCCAGCCAATTCCTAATGGGATTACTTCTTTCTAGATCTGAAAATATATGTTCCGAACTCCCAGAAGTGGCTTTCACATCCTCTCTTCGCTTGTTTTTTTCTCCCCTGCATATATCATCCTTTCATGAGATAGTACAGACTCAGCAATGAAGATTTTTTTTAAAATCCTACTTATGAAAAAGAAGTTTCCTCTCTTCTATCCCATTTTCAGTGAGCTACTCCATGTGACTTACAGCCCTTGACTTACAGCCTTTTATTTAGTGACAACAACACTGAAAAAAAATTATCATAACCGTTTTTCACCCCTATGACCATTGTCACATCCCCATGGTCATGTGATCAAAATTCGGACAGTTGGGCATGTGCCTTGTATTTATGATGGTTGCAATGCCCTGGGGTCATGTGACCCCTTTTTGCCAAATTCCCACTGTCTACAGAAATTTACCCATGTACTTTTGCTATTACCCAGTGTTTCCCCGAAAATAAGACCGGGCCTTATATTAATTTTTGCTCCAAAAGACACATTAGGGCTTATTTTTCCAGTTAGGTCTTATTTTCAGGGAAATACGGTATTAATCGCATTCATCTGGGTGACAATCTTAACTGGGGCTTATTTTGGAGGTAGGGCTTATATTATGAGCATCGTGCTAGTGCTTATTTTCCAGTTGGGTCTTATTTTGAGGAAGACACGTATCCTTGTCATCTTTTCCTCCAACTCATCTTTCCTACTACCTTGTCCTGTAAGTATCTTTATGATTTATCTCTTGTTCTTTGTATCTTACAATTTCTGATTGTTTCTCATGATTTATGATCTATAACTTACCACTTTGTTCTTTATACGTACACTGAGAGCTTATACAATTCCTTGTGTGTCCAATCACACTTGGCCATTAACGAATATTCCTAGAGATTATGCTTTCTGACAAGTAAAATCAAGGGAGAATCCAGATTCACTTTACAACAGTGTTACTAACTTAACAAGATGCAGTGCTGTTATCTTGTCTAATCATTCACTAGGCGGTGTTACTTCACTCAGTCTCCCACGTTCTGTCCCAGATACCTTTACAATAAGAGACATCACCCTGTACAGATATTGTTGGGGGAAGAATGCCCTTAAGGGTAAGTGCTAGAGCCCACTGTAACTACATAGCCAAAAAGGCGTTAAGAGTTGTTAACCTAATCCTACGTAGCTTTTTCTCTGGTAATATCACACTACTAACTAGAGCATACAAAACATTTGCTAAACCAATACTCGAATACAGCTCATCAGTCTGGAACCCGCATTACGTATCTGATATTAATACAGTTGAGAAAGTCCAGAAATATTTCACAAGAAGAGTTCTCCACTCCTCGACTTGTTGCAGAATACCTTATGCCACCAGACTTGAAATTCTAGACCTAGACAACCTAGAACTATGCTGCCTTCTGTCTGATCTAAGTATAGTATATAAAATCATACATTGCAATGTCCTACCTGTCAATGAATACTTCAGCTTCAACCATAACAAAATAAGAGCACACAATAGATACAAACTCAAGGTAAACTGCACCAAACTTGATTGCAGGAAATACAACTTCAGCAACAGAGTGGTCAATGTCTGGAATACTCTACCTGACTCTGTGGTTCCTTTCCCAAACCCCCAAACCTTTAGACTGTCTACTATTGACCTCACCCTTTTCCTAAGAGGTCTGTAGGGGGCGTGCATAAGCGCACCAACGTGCCTACCGTCCCTGTCCTATTTTTTTCTTATATGTATCCATGTATTCACAACTATGTTTTTACTTATACCTATTATCTTGTAAGCAATTGACAAACCAAATAAATAAGTAAGTAAAATAAATAAAAAAGGTCTAAGTCAGAGAATAAAGCTATTTTAATAATCCTTATTTTGCCTAAGCCCTAGTCCAGTGATGACTAATCTTTTCCTCGTCTGGTGCCAAAAGTGCCTGCGTCCATAATGCAATGTGCATGCGACCTCCCCTGCGCGTGCGACTCCCCCGCACACACACTGCACGTGCACGCACATGCGTGCACAACCCCTGTGCTATGCACCTCTGCGCATGCACATGCGACACCCCCCACTGCACACCTCTATGACCGTGTGCACACAATCCCTCCCGTATGTGCCCCGTCCCCCCCATGCATGCACAGGCATCGCCCATGCATACTTCTCCCCCCACGCATGCGCGACAGATACCCAACAATCAGCTGGCTGGCGGGGGGCATGCGCGCATGCGCAGTGGGTTTGTTCTGGGTGACCTCTCGCATGCCGGCAGAAATGGCTCTGCGTGTCACTTCCGACACGCGTGCCATAGGTTCGCCATCATGGCCCTAACCTTTGATGTGAAGGATTTTTGAAGAACATCTTCCCGATTATCCAAGGGTCAATGTTTCACCCAAAGTCCACCCATGACATAAACCACGTTTTTATTATGGGTAGTCCTTGACGGACCATGACAGTTGAGTCCAAACTTTCTGTCGTTAAATGAAGCGGTTGTTAAGCGAGCTTTGTTCCATTTTACGACCTTTCTTGCCACACTGTTAAGTGAATCACTGCAGTTGTTAAGTTAGTAACATGGCTGTTACGTGAATCTGGCTTCCCCATTTGACTTTGCTTGGCAGAAAGTCTCAAACAGAGAACACTTGACCCCGGGACACTGCAATCGTCATAAATATGAGTCCGTTGCCAAGTGTATGAATTTTGATCATGTGACCATGGGGATGTTGCAATGGTCATGTGAAAAATGGCCCTACATCACTTTTCTCAGTGCCGCTGTAACTTTGAACTATTACTAAAAGAAATGTTATAAGTCGGGGACTGTCTGAACACTGACTAAAATTCAGGACTGGACCTCGTTATAATCTGGTCAGGAGACCCATAGGAACCAATAACCTTAAGGATAATTCTAAGAACTCTCCTAATCTCTTTGGAGATGCATTCCAAAAGCCAAACTCGAGAAAACAGAAGCCCATATCCTACCTGCCAGCAAACACGGTCCATTAACCAACATCTCGAAGCTGAACTCGTAGGGGAAGGGATTGTAAACATCACCTCTGAAGATGTCAGGGTCACTGGGAGGCGTATGAAAAGACGGGTCGCTCTTCAGACTAGCAGAGCCAAAACAACTCGTGGAGCTAAAGCAGAAGAAAAATGTCACACTGCTGACTACCATATCCCAACCCCATTTGCCCTGTGAAACTGATCAATGTTTGTTAGGAGATAAGACATATTTCAAAGTCTCTTCAGAAGTTTTTTCAAAGCCTCTTCAAAAGTCATTTTCTCAGGGTAGGAGAAAGAAGGAAGGAAGGAAGGAAGGAAGGAAGGAAGGAAGGAAGGAAGGAAGGAAGGAAGGAAGGAAGAGGGGTGGGTGGGTGGGAAGGAAGGAAGATGGAAAAATAGGAAGGAAAGCTTTTGAAAGTGAATATCACCAGAAGAGTTTTATTGTTTCAATAAAACTTGCCCATTTACTTTGATTTCAATATTGTGAAAATTACAGGAGGAAAAAAAAAACTGGAGAGATATTATCTGAAGTAATTCTGGGATTGAAACCATGACATATAGCATTTGTTTGGTGGGGGGCGGGGGTTACAGGAAGTTTACAGTGTTTTACAGTTAGGGTTCACATAACCAATATTTAACACGTCAACCTGACCAATATGACTAAATCTTATAGAGATTTGGGGGTAAAATGGCAGGCAAACAAAAATATTTGAGAACAAATGTGCAGATTAAGAAAATGTGCTCATTATAATATAAAGGTCAGGTGTCTCTTACAAAAGTAGATTTTTTTTTAACAAACTCCATTAAAAAACACCGGTGGAAAAGCTAAATGTTAGTACAACTCACTTAAACTTGCTCATGATTATATTTTGGGGGTATTGTGCTTGTAATATTTCACTCTCTTCTTTCCTTGATGTTTTCTTCTTACTTGGTTATCAAAATGTCCTCCCTATTGGATGGATAGAGTCCTCAAAGGGGACAGCTCCCCAAGAGGTCAATATTGACCCCCTCCCAAATATTTTGTTTTACAAAAAGTATATTTATATTGACCCCCTCCAAAGGTCAAGGGGTCTATCCACTGTTATTTGTAGTACTATTGGTTACAATGGCATGTGTTTAAAATTCCATATAACTTGGAATGGTACATCCAGTTTTGGCCACCATGATACAAAAAAGATATTGTGACTCTAGAAAGAGTGCAGCGAACAGCAACAAAGATGATTATGTGACCGGATGCTAAAACATGTAACAAACGGTTGCAGGAATTGGGTACGTCTAGTTTAATGAAGAGAAGGATCAGGGCAGGATGACATGATAGGAGTATTCCAGTATTTGAGGGTCTGCCAATAAAAAGAGGGGGGGAGGTCAATCTATTCTCCAAAGCACCTGAAGGCAAGACAAGAAAATGAATGGAAGCTAAGGAAAGAAGCAACCTAGAACTAAGAAGAAATTTCCTGACATTTAGACAATTAATCAGGGGAACAACTTACCTTCAGAAGTTGTCGATGCTGGAGTTTTTAAAGAAGAGACTGGACAACCATTTGTCTGAAATGGGTTTCCTATATGAGAAGGGGATTGGACTAAACAATCTCCAAGGTCCCTTCTAACTCTGTTATTCTGTTATATAAAGAACGGTTGCAGAAACTGGTCTAAGTCTAAGAAGGAGAAGGTCTAGAGCAGTGATGGCTAACCTTTTTGGGCTCCTGTGCCTAAAATTGTACGCACGCACGCATGCCAGCACCCAGAAGGCAATGCATGCGCCCCCATGCTCCCTATGCATGCATGCACAATCGCCACCCACCCCCGCTGCCCCCTTACCTGCACTGCACCTCACAGCTGATTTTTGGCCGGTTTGATGCCTTTTTCGAAAGAAAGGCTTCTGCAGGCTTTGCAGGCCGAAAACTAGCCCCGTTTCATCACTTCCGGTATTTTCAGAAAAACAGGAAGTGATGAAACGGGGCTAGTTTTCGGCCTGCAGAAGCCTTCTTCAAGCCTTTGGGAGGCCACAAAAGGCCTCAAACTGGCTGAAAATCAGCTGTGAGGCGCGTGCATGCATAGTGAGGTAAGTTTGCCTGCAGCTCGCGTACCGGCACAAATGGCTCTGCATGCCACCTGTGGCATGCATACCATAGGTTTGCCATCACAGGCCTAGGGTATCACAAAGCTGGCTGGGGAATTCTGGGAGTTTGAAGTCCATGCATCTTAAAGCTGCCAAGGTTGTGAAACACTGCACAGAGTGTCTGGCTTACCTATATTATCTACATTATCTTCATTCGTGACATAGATGAGGGAATAGAAGGGGAACTTACCAAATTTGCAGATGATACTAAACGGGCAGGAATAGCTAACACCCAAGAAGATAGGCTCAAGATCCAGATGGATCTTGACAGAATAGAACATTGGGTCATATCTAACAAAATGAAATTCAGTGTAGAGAAAAGTAAAGTCCTACACTTTGGCAAGAAAAAACAAAAGCGCACATATAGACTGGGTGAAACGAGGCTCAATAGCAGTAACTGTGAGAGGGATCTTGGAGTCTTAGTGGACAACCAGCTAAATATGAGCCAGCTGTGTGCAGCAGCCAAAAAAGCTAATGCAATCCTTAGTTGCATTAACCTAGGGATACAATCAAGATCAAGTGAGGTACTAATACCACTCACTAAAGCCTTAGTAAGACCACACCTAGAGTACTGCATCCGGTTTTGGTCACCACACTATAAAAAATGTTGAGACTGTAGAAAAAGTACAGAGAAGACCAACCAGGATAATTTGGGGACTGGAGGCTAAAATATATGACGAATGGTTACAGGGACTGGACATGGCTAGTCTAACAAAGAGAAAGACCGGGGAGACATGATAGAAGTGTGCCAATATTTGAGGGGCTGCCACAGAGAGGAGAAGGGGGGTCAAGCTATTTTCCAAGGCACCCGAAGGCCAGATAAGGAACAATGGATGGAAACTGAACAAGGAGAGATTTAACCTGCAAATAAGGAGAAACTTTCTAACAGGGAGAACAATCAACCAATGGAACAAAAGTTGCCTTCAGAAGTTATGAGAGCGCCATCACTTGAGACTTTCAAGAAGAGATTGGACAGCCATTTGTCAGAAATGGTGTAGGATCTTCTGCTTGGCCGGGGGTTGGACTAGATGACCTAAAAGATCCCTTCCAACTCTGATTATCTGTTATCTGTTGTGTTTTTTTTAAATCTGTTATATTCTCCAAGGTCTCTACTTGTTTACTTTGCAGGAAATAGTCACTCATTCACCCTCCACTATGGTTCATTCAAATGACTTTGAGCCTCAAGCTGAAAGCAACAGTGGATTTTATGAGTGGAGATTTAAGTTTAGACATCCACACATCCACACTCCTACCACACTTACGGCTTATTCAAATTGTTCAAAGAGCTTTCCAAACTAAGATGGAGTGGGGGGGGGAAGAGCCTTTAACCCTTTCCCCCTCCCCCATTACTGCCACAGTTATTTTCTGTCCCCTAATAATCTTCGGCTTTTTTCTCCAAACTCCATAGACTCTGAGAAAGTCATGAAAATCACCATAGGGCCAACCTGTCGTCACACAAGCTTCTCGTTTCACTTTCACTTTCAGGCACGGCTAAGACCAAAGGCATGAGTACAGATGGGAAGGAGACATGCATAGCACCATTGGGCAGGGTTGCCAGCTCCTGGCTGGTGCTGAAGAGCACAGTCAGGATTTCGGAGGGCTCAAGGAGGCCTGCGCTGATGATGAAAGTAGACCGTGCCTGGTCTCCATCAAGGATCAAGTGTCCTAGGTAGAAGAGAGAAAATAGTTACGAATATCCAGCGTCTTTCAAAAAACAAAACAAAAAACCCAACCACCTCTTTATGAACTGGATATAGAAAACTGGAATCATTGCACCCTTTCTTCCTGTCCCTATTTGATCACGACCATTAGAGTCGCACAATTTTAAACCAGGTATTGAAGTCATTTCAAACATTTACAATCTTACAGAAGACGTTGCACAGAACAGTGAAGGAAAGTTAGGACAACTATCCCTCTGAGCAGAGAGGATACTGTGTTTTTTAAAAAAACTGTCTTTCAACAATGACTTAAACCCATGTTATCATCCTCTAGCATAGTTGCATAGATCACTCTTTCTTTTACCTTGGATCAGTGCTTCTGAACCTCGGAAACTCTAAGATGTCTGGACTTCAGATCTCAGAATATGATGAACGGTGGTCTAGTTTGGGTAAACCTCTGATATAGTTCTCACCTCCCTCAGAGCATGCAAACCTCAAAAGCATATGCTGCCTTATGGTCTTTGCAGCAACTTCCGCTTGCCCAACAGGAACAAATCACTCAATCAGCCATAAGTGGCCATCATCAGGAGGCTCCTAGGTCCTCCTCTGGAATAACCAGAATACAGAATTCTGGAAACTGAAGTCCAGACATCTTAGAGTTGCTAGGTTGAAAAAAAGTGCCCTAGAGCAGTGGCCCCCAACGTTTTTTGTGCCACAGCCCGGTACCCGCATCACAAAATGATCTGCGACCCGGTACCAGCATCAGTACGCATGACAAGGCAAGGCGAGCCGAGCGACCGGCCAGCCAGCCGTCCCCCGCTTCTCCCCGCCACCTTCAACTCCTCCTTTGTACCTTTGTCGATGGGCTTCGCTTCGGGACGGCCTTGGGACGGTCGCTCGGCTCGCCTTGCCTTGGGTGCTGACAGAATCCTTGTGCCTTAGTTTCGTTCGAAGCCCCCCCTTCGATGAAACTAAGGCACGAGGATTCCTTCAGGACCCAAACGCCGCTGGCGGTGCCCAGAAAACCAGCGGCCTGGTAGGAAATGTTCCATGGACCGGTACCAGTCCGCAGACCGGTGGTTGGGGACCCCTGCCCTAGAGGAACCTTTTATGGAGAAACCTTTGAAATAATTTGTAAATTTCAGGGATGTCTCTATTCTATTCCTATTCTAATTCTATTCCTATTCTCACTCTATTCCTATTCCAATTCTATTCCTATTCCAATTCTATTCTAATTCTAATTCTATTCTAATTCTATCTCAATTCCAATTCCAATTCTATACCAATTCTATTCTATTCTAATTCTATTCCAGTTCTATCCTTTTCCGTTCCGTTCCGTTCCATTCCATTTCCTATTCCAATTCCAATTCCAATTCTTATTCCTATTCCATTCCATTCCTATTCTACTCTATTCACAAATTTATATGTACCCAACTCACACACAGTGTGCACTGTGTGGTAAGCAAACTTTATTTTATAATAAAAAAAAATATGTACTTTTTTTCAACCATAATTTCCCACAGGGCCTCCATGACCTCTCACCAAACCCTGGGATTCCACAGAATCTATTTGAGAGCGGCTGGTATAGAGGCAACGCTTAAGGAGCGTGCATTGACTGAGATGAGGATTCAGGTTAATATGAATCCACTGAGGCATTGAGATTTCCGCTTCGCTCATAGCTCGCTATCCCTCTATGCTACCTATCTAGCAGACTGCCGAAATCTCTTAGAAACTGGGACCCTATCATTCTTTATACGGAGAAAAGTCACCTTTCGGGACCTTTCCACATCAAGAAAATGCTTTGGGGAGTCCATCCAGAGCAGGTTCAAGCCCCTATTCTTTTCAGGAGTCCTGGGTACAGAGGTCTGTTAGGCGATATGACCCCCACCAACCATTACTGCAGCGGAGCGGCTGGTTGCAATTCGTGTTACAGTCAAGGCAGCAATCATCCACTGGAGGCCGGGTCTGGATCTGGAAGGTGGAGGTTCTGTTTCCTGTCTTTGCTTCAAAGCTTGAGACCACCTCGGACTCCTCCAAAGGATAGACGAATACTCCTGTGCCAAAGAAACCAGGCGATATAAGCTGACTTTGCACCCTTTACCTCAGCCTTTCTCAACCTTGGCCTCTTTAAATTAGGTTGGACTTCAACTCCCAGAATTCTTCAGCCAATTCTCCATTCTGACTGGAGAATTCTGGGAGTTGAAGTCTACCCATCTTAAAGTTGCCAAGGTTGAGGCACATGTTAATCTTACGTAACCTTTCTTAATGGGAATAACGCTAAAGAGATTGCCAGTGACCTGCACAGAAGCCATACGCTCGTATCTTCTTCAGAGCATCCAGCATGGAAATGATGAAGATTGAAAGTTGCTATAGATCAGGTCTGATGTTGCTAATGACCAGCTTGGCCAAAGTGAAGGATGATGGAAACCATCGTTCTGCTAAGCAGTGGTTAGAATGCAGTGTTGTGGGCTAACTCTGCTAACTGGTAGCAGTTCGATCCTCATGGACTCATGGTTGACTCAACTTTTCATCCTTCCAAGGTCAGTAAAATGAGAACCTAGATGGTTAGGGGCAATATGCTGACGAGAAGTTATTTACCTCTTCAGGCAGGAAGAGCGGAAGAATCAGCAACCGGTCTATTAAAACCAGGAATGCAGCATATAAACTATGCTTACATACCGTAGATTTGTAAGGTGCCGGTTGTTACCTTTAAAGCCCTTCCTGGCTTGGGACCAGGTTATCTGCAGCAGTGGCCCCCAACCTTTTTTGTGCCACGGCCCGGTACCGGCATTACAAAATGATCCGTGGCCCGGTACTGGCATCAGCACGCATGACAAGGCAAGGCGAGCCGAGCGACCGGCCAGCCAGCCGTCCCCCGCTTCTCCCTGCCACCTTCAACTCCTCCTTTGTACCTTTGTCGCTGGGCTTCGCTTCGGGACGGCTTCGGGACGGTAGCTCGGCTCGCCTTGCCTTGGGTGCTGAAAGAATCCTCGCGCCTTAGTTTCGTTCAAAGCCCCCCCCTTCGATGAAACTAAGGCGCGAGGATTCCTTCAGCACCCAAACACCGCTTTCCAACCGGAAAAGCTCACCCAGAAGCACTTTCTCATCAAACAAGATGGCGGCGCCCAGCAAACCGAGGGCCTGGTAGGAAATGTTCCACGGACCAGGATCGGTCCACAGCCCGGTGGTTGGGGACCCCTGATCTGCAGGATTCTTGCCAATCACATCCTCCCTGTGGAACAGGGGTCACCAACCTTTTGGACCTCAGGGACCACCAAACTCATAATTTTAAATCCTGCGGACCACTAATATGAATTTTGACTGACGGTGGCTTGCTGACATTGGTGGGTAAAGTTGGTCCTATATTCCAGCGCTACAGTAGTCACGAGACTGGCCCTTTGGTCACCCCGGAGCAGCTGCTCCTCCACCCGGGTGCACCGGCCTCTCATGGACTGGAGGAGCTCCTCCGGGATGACCAAAGGGCCGGTCCTGTGACTATTGCAGCTCTGGAATATGGGACCGACTTTCCCACCAATGTCAGCAAGCCACCCCGGGGTGGATTTCCCTCCCCTGCCGTTGGTCTTACCTTCCAGTTCTAACTCGCGCGGCTCTACTCAAGGTAAGGTTTGCACTTGGCTGAAGGGTGGGGGGGACAGTGGGTGGGCGGGCCATGTGTGTGGCGCAGCCTTGTGTTCTCACACAGCCTGGATTTATTGCTTTGGGGGAAGGGACATTTCTCTGCGGACCACCAAAATTTTCTTGTAGATCACCAGTGGTCCCTGGCCCAATGGTTGGTGACCACTACTCTGGAACATCAACCCTCCAGAAATTAGACTGGCCCACATTCTGCCACTCATTTGGAAGGCCCTGAAGATTGAAGATGGTTTTGCCAGCAGGCCTGGGGAACTTAGAGTGGGATGGAGTCCCTTAAATGGCTGATATGACTGTGAATTGTTGCCAAGGGGAGGTTATTATTATTTTATTATTTTTATTCCTTTTGCATTACATTTTGCAAGTTTTTTTATTTTCTGTAAGCCGTCTAGAATTGTCGTGAACAAGCAGGCAGGTATATAAAATTTTCCAAAATAAAATAAATAGCTTTGGATCTCTTAAAAAAAAAGAAAGAAAAAAGCTCACCTTCCACAGCTTGCTGCTCCAGATTGATGTAAGTAAGATTGGCAGTGATTCCCAAGGTATAGCCATTGGCACAGGCCTTCACACACGAGCTCTGAAGAGGGAGAGCAGTCCAGGAGGGCAAGCCATACAGCCCTGGCATGATCTTTGGGTTAAATTCTCAAATTCTGCAGCCGAGAAAAGATGAAGAACACAGGGAATGCCTGGTGAATCTAACATTGGAACGGAGAATTGAAATAAAAATGGAGGCAGCTGTCGTTCCCAGCAGATCTAGATGAACACGCGATGTAATCTGGTCTTTATTTCAAACCATTGGTGAAGTGGCAAAACAATTTGGGAACTTCTACGTGAGGGTAGTCTACCTGGGCCATCCGGAAAGCAGCTCCAGGTTTCTGTGATTCCCATAACATCGGTGGGGGTTGGAAGGCTGAGCCAAATTACTTCCAACTCAGCTGCGATGTTGCTGAAGTTTTCCCTTTTGCAAGACCGTGAGATGAAGACTATACAGAGCTTGCGGAAGACCCATTTATTTACTCATGTAAAAACATAGGCCTCGACATCACTTCCTGCTTCTGGACCTCAGCCATCTTAAGAAATCCTGTTACCTTGAAGGCTTTGCAGCTCCCTTTGAACACAACAAGCAAAGTCAACAAGGCCGTTCTTTCTTGGCTACATTAAAAGTGTTTTCTTCTACTAGTTTGTTAATCTGGCCATAAAGTATCGAGCATACCAACCCAACAGCCAAGATCTAGCAGTCTTCCAACATTTGAGGGGCTGTCACAAAGTTGATGGGGACAACCTATTCTCCAGAGCACGTGAGGACAAGACAAGAAGCAATGGATGGAAATTAATCAAGGAGAGAAGTAACCTAGAACTAAGGAGAAATTTCCTGAGAGAACAATTAACCAGAGGAGCAGCTTCCCTCCGGAAGTTGTGAATGCTCCAACACTGGAGGTTTTTAAGAAGAGAATAGACAGCCGTTTGTCTGAAAGGGTATAGAGCAGGTGTGTCAAAATTGCGGCCCACAGGCCAGATGCATCATGTCCCCACGTTGTGGTTAGCCGGAAGCAGGTGCGGACGGCTGAGGAGAGCGAGGACTCAGATGAGGGGCCAGGACCATTGGGGAGTGGACTGCTGCCTTCAGAGATTGTGGGGCTGGCAGCAGCGTTGAGGAGGTTCCTGAGGAGCCTGTGCCAAGTGTGCATGCACGCAGGATTGCTCACAGGAAAGAGCAGCTGCAGCAGCACGGGCAACTCGGGAGTAAGGCTGCAAGGTAATGGCCCCTCCTTCAAGAAGATAAAAACCAGCTGTGAATCAGACGTTCTTTGCAGGAAGCAAAGACATTTTGAAACTTGAGCCTCGTGGACATTAGTTGGTATTTGAAGACTCTTGTGTTGTAAAATATTTCTTATCTGTTACTCTTGGCAGCCTCGCAGAGTTTTGGTGAGGCTCGTGCTTTTCAAAGTTAGTTAGTTTGCAGCAGCCTTTTACCTGGGGATTCATAAGAATCATTAAAAGGTTTCTGTTCCCTTTGGTTCGTGTTTGTTTTATTGGAAAAGGGTTTGGGTCAGAACACCCCCCCGCCCTTTCAGCAAAGGGGAAAAAGCCATGATACATCACATGACAACAATGTGACAATGTGAGTTTGACACCCCTGTTATAGGGTTTCCTGCTTCAGCAGGGGGTTGGACTATGAGACCCCCAACGTCCCTTCCAATTCTGTTATTCTCCCTCAGTAACAAGGCAAGTGAATGGAGCTATCTTTAGAATTAATATGGGGCCAATTAAGGAAAGTGGTAGATTTAGTTCATCTGGCTTCATTTCTCTCTGAAAAAAGGTCACTTTGCTTAATTGGTGGAGGGAGGAGTCTGGGTGAGTAGAGTTGGAGGCTTTGAACAGGATGGTTAGCTCAGAGTCAAGCTTCCTGACGAAAATCTGCATCTATGACTTTCTGAACAAGAGTCTTAACACTCTTTTGGAAGTGTCTATGGAGATTTTGACCACCCAATGAGAAGGAAAGACTCCCTGGAGAAGAGCCTAATGCTGGGAACGATGGAGGGCAAAAGAACTATTACAAAGTCTGCACTACCATTACTGTTGATCTTCTCATCACTCCTTATCACCCATCCCCTCCCATTGTATGACTGTATGACTGCAACTTTGTCGCTTGTATCCTTATGATTTATATCGACTGTTTCCTAGTATGATTTGATTGCTTATTGTCCCCCATGACTATTACTAAGCGTTGTACTTATGATTCTTGACGAATGTCTCTTTTCTTTTATGTATACTGAGAGCATTTGCACCAAGACAAATTCCTTGTGTGTCCAACCACACTTGGCCAATAAAGAATACTATTCTATTCTATTCTATTCTATTCTATTCTATTCTATTCTATTCTATTCTATTCTATTCTATTCTACTCTACTCTACTCTACTCTACTCTACTCTACTCTACTCTACTCTATTCTATGAAGAACGGGACGACAGAGAATGGGGTGGCTGGATGGAGTCACTGAAGCAAACGGTGTGAGCTTAAATGGACTCCAGTGGATGGTAGAGGACAGGAAGTCCTAGAGGAATATTGACCATGGGGTCACGATGGACATGACAAATGGAGATTTTCAGTCATCCAGGTCATGGTAGTTCCAAAGGTGGCTTTTTTTAAAAAAAAATACAATGTATTTATTCATCAAATGGAAATTGCAAATTCAAATGAGTAAAAGAAAAATAATAATTAAAATGTGATAGGGGAGATAGGCACATTAATGCACTTATGCACATCTCCTTAAGGACCTCTTAAATGTCTATATGGCAAAAACTGTTAGGAAAAGAGGAGGAACTGCCTTAAACAGGATGGGCTTCAAGATCCTTCATTGGCTGGCTGCAAATTAAGTAGCCACAAAGAACAAGTTTTTCCCCGAACGCCATCCCTCTGCTAAACCAATAATTCCCTCAACACTGTCCAACTATTTACAAAGTCTGCACTACTATTACTATTAAGCTTCTCATCACTCCTTATCACCCATCCCCTCCCACTTGTGGCTGTATGACTGTAACTGTGTCGCTTGTATCCTAACGATTTATATGGACTGTTTCCTAGTATGATTGGATTGCTTATTGTACCCTTTGACTTTCATTAAGTGTTGTGCCTTATAATTCTTGACTCTTGACGAATGTATCTTTTCTTTTATGTACACTGAGAGCATTTGCACCAAGACAAATTCCTTGTGTGTCCAATCACACTTGGCCAATAAAAGAATTCTAATTCTAATTCTAAAGATAGGCTATTTAAAACATTTACCTGGAAAGGGACATAGAAGACTTAAGGGATAGTCCCTGACACTGACAAGAGTTTTACCCATTTTCCCTTCTGTCCTGCAGGCTGCTGGAAAATGTAATTTTCCTCTCCTTTTTTTAGGTGGAGTATGGGGGCACACAGGAGAAATGAGTGGATTCGTGGCTTTTCGGGACTTAGGAATGAGGCAGCTTATACTCTTCGCATTTTGTAGGTGATTCCAGGTGGTTCTATGGGACTGAGGAATGGAACTGGGTGAAAGTGTCCAATCTATGGGAATAAAATTGCAGGGGCCACTTGAGAAAATGTGACCGAATCTATGTTTCCAACCTTTTTTCCATGCCAGTTACGTCTCTTGTGGGTCTTTTAATAGCTGGCCAAATTGCCTACAAAGGCAAAAATGTTGTTCAGGAAGTAACTATTTTTTCCACTTCTGCCTGAACAGGAAAATAATCTTGTATGCAATGACAGTTTAAGTAAAAATATTCACTCCCCCACCCCCGATTGTTTTTATGATACATACTCAGGCTTGAATTATGTTGCTAGGTACATTCCATTCCAAAATTATGGTACTATCAGTTTTATTTGTGAGAGGCTACCTAGCACATTCCTAATTAAGTTTTTTTTTTTTTAAGTTTAAGATAAAGCTTGAGAATTTGACTTCCTAAGGTTGTAAGACTACAGGTGCTCCTTGACGTATGACCACAACCGAGCCCAAAATGTATGTGGCTAAGTGAGACATTAAAATGAATTTTGCTCCGTTTTATGACCTTTCTTGCCGTGGTTGTTAAGTGAATCATTGCAGTTAAGTGAGTAACTGCAAAGTGAATCTGGCTTCCCACCTTGACTTTGATCATCAGGAGGTTACAAAAAGGGATCACATCTAGGACACTGCGGCCGTCTTAAATGCGAATCAGTTGTCAAGCACCCAAGTTTTGACCGTGTGACCATGGGATGCTGCCGCAGTTATGAGAAAAAATTTGCTTGCCACTTTTTTTCCAGCGCTGTCATAACTACAGGTCATCCTCGACTTACAAGAGTTCATTTAGTGACCGTTCGACCGTTTCAACGGCACTGAAAAAAATGACTTATGACCGTTTTTTCCCACTTTGCAACATCCCCGTGATCACGTGGTCAAAATTCAGGAGCTTAGCAACCGATTCACATATAGGATGGTTGTAGTGTGCAATGGACGTTGCAAATGGAGCCGAGTTGGGCGTCCTGGAGTGAGGAGAAGTGCCGGAGGAGTAAATAACTCCTTTAAAAAAAAACCTTGGGTCCTGCTGGCCCGGCTGGTAGCGCCTCATAAGGGCCCCTTTCCAGGATTACAGGAGAAGATGGTCAACCATTTTTGAAGGCGGGAGAGGGCTCTATGCCCCAACGGCCAATAAAACGATAGAACCATCTTCTAGGAGAAGGTTTGAAACTCTTGATTTCAAACCTCCACTGCCTTGTGGCTATAGCTATTATTGGGAAAGGCTTCCGGAGTCAACCTCGAGGCAAAATCCAGAGCCGGAGTCCTGGAAGGAGTTCGTGACTGTGCACAATCAAGTTCTGGGAACTCCGGTGACGCAGCTGGAACTTATCGTATCGGCTCTGCCGTTCCTCCGTTAGACTGTTTCAGTGACATGGAACGGGGGGAATCTGCTGCTTGGGTAACAGTTTATCCTCCGTATTAAATTACCCAGGCCTCGTGCTCTGCAAAGGACGCTCCAGCTTTGCATACAGCATGGAAGCAACACGGGACGTGGCCGTTACCCATTTCACAGCCCGATATCATCGTCTCTTGAGACTGAAGGATGCCAATTCCAATTCAGTGTGCAAGAGTCATGGGACGATCCCCC